AACGGTATAGGCCGAACAACGGCAAAGCACAAGAAGCGTAGCGACTGCTGAAGAGAGTAAGGCAGTTGTAAAGAGCCGACCAGTCCGTGCTGCGGCTATGACGTATTTTGCGTGCCATCGTGCACATGTGCACGCTGCTGCTGGTGATCGTTGGTGGGCTAGAGAAGAAAAAATGGAGCCAACACTTTGCGATAAGCGATGTGAGGCTACTATGTAGACTAGAGTAAGCAACTCAGAACAAGCCGAGTAAACCGTGAAGCAAAATCAGGGGCCAAATGGGGTAACGAGAGGTCAACGGTGAACCGGCTTTTCACTTACGAAGAGGCTTGGTGCATATACATATCTCTATATATGTAAGTTTTCAATGGCTATGCCAACATAAGGGTTTAAGGCACACATTATCAGTGCATGGATGTTGGACATGGTTAATCAAAAAAGCCCTGAGACCAATACACAATATGTATAAATCTACAAGTAAACTCTTTAAGGATGCCTCTTTTGAAAGCTTCTACTGAGTGTAGAGACAGCTGATTTTCTATATGCTCTATGTTATTGTTTCCATAGGAATAATATGAGTTTGCTTTTATTTGTTATAGATTTAGGCACATTAAAACAGCCATTAGGAAGGAAAGCCTTAATTTAAAAAATTATTATAACCGACCAAGAAAAAGTAATCCGTCGCTATTAAGAAGAGAGTCGCAAAATAGGTTTAGTTTCTTTTTAACCATCCAAGATGGAATTAGGCTCCGGCCATGTCTTGTAGATTACTTCAAGCGTCGGGACACAAGGGATCGTGCTGACTTTGGTCTTGATTTTTCACTTAGACCTCGGTTATCCACTCCACCTAAAGCAGAAATCACTCCCTGCGATATTGAAGCGTTCAAGTTCGGGTCAATTATCTACAAATATTCTATGATCAGGCTGAAGCGCTCAAAAATTCCCAGTTCAAACACGCTGTATCGCAGTAGAAAAACTTCAGCTTAGGTTCATCGTGGCCTTCATGGCTACATTCCTTACACATGTAGTATCGTCACTTTGAATCTTTGTATTTGTCTAGTGGACTGCACAGTCAGATCGATGTTGGTGGTACGGCTGACTTACTTTACAGCAGGCTAAAATCCCGCCTCAAACAGACTCTAACATGGAGGAGAGCAGCACGAGCGGCATCAGCAGGTGCGATTGTGTTCTCTGACCCTTTCGTAGCCGAATGCGGGACGAAACCATAATTGTCCACTCAGTTCCTCGTCCTTCATTCATTTATACGACAATGACCGTACTTATTAATTTAAAACGCCATCTATAACAAGGTAATACAACCAATAATCCCGTGTGTTTTTGTTGTTACCTACCGCCTGCTAGTACGCATCGATTCGATCAGATGTAAGCCGGTTAAAAGTAGATCAGTAATAGTTGTATCTGATTAGAGTATTTTCCACCTGTGGACGCTTTCTTTTATAAACAAATAACATTTTGCCAGAGAACGGTATAAGTGGGCATTGCGAGCATAAGGGCCGAGAGGTTATTATGTACGAGAATTACATAGTTCTCATGTAATCAGGGTAGCTTAAAATGCTGATTTGTTGCCTCCAAAATGAAGCATATTTCTGCGCGTGTTTTATTGTAATTCGAAAAGCTTAATTTGCTCCATACATAAAATACTCAATACGATTTTGAATTACGGTTTTGCATAATTTAGCATTAATTTCACTGATTACTTCACGAATACAGTGTTCTTGCTTTATTGATCATGTCCTTCCTATAGTCCTACAGCAAAAATCGAGGGGGTTGAATCACGGGACTGAAGCGTGTTACTGTCGAACGTCGAGATCAGTTGGCCTGGGAACATGGTGTCAAGCAAATTGATCGTTTCATGCACTGTTGTTTCATCCAATTTCAATCGATGCCTGTATTGGAATTCACGAACGGATTGACAACGCAACTTTAATATTAAAGTTCGCTATTAATTGGTCCTGCCGTTGTATGATTATTTACGAAGAGGTGAGCTTTTGCTGTACAAACTGCATACATAGAGACTCGGTGGGAAACGAAGCCGCTAACATCTGCTTCGAGCCCAACAAACAAATGATCAACGAATTAATGACACTTACAATAGTCTTCAATCCTCAACTGTGAAGCAACTCTCGCTTTGAAATGGGTCGCAAAACGCAAATTGAGAGGCAAAGCTGTTGAGCATGATCTCACCTCGAAGCCGTTAGGTTGGCATTCACACTGCTCTGATTTATGTCTCTTCTTTCTGGCTTTATTTTTTTTGCTTCAGTCTCTTCTCAGTCTCTTCGAATTTCTCAGTCAATCGTCTCAATGTTTCCTTCGCCAAGGAGATATGTCGTTAATGACATTGTCGCCGTAATGAGCTCCCCACCTTTATTTTTACTTGGAATAAACGTTGTTCCAATTTGAAAGTCTATAATCACAAACACAGCAATTTAGAGACAAGCATGGGAATGTTCAGGCACACGTAAACGTGTGAGCTTTCTGATCTTTTTGATTTTGTACATTATATTCTGCACGTACCTTAACACTACGTAAAGCTTCTTTGTGAAACGCTAGTTTACGAACTGACCGTAAGACCATCGTCTTCTATTCACGAAAATAAACGCGAAGGTCTCTGGAGTAGGAGCTGATGCAGGACGAAACAGAAACGTGGCCAAATACGGTGTTCCGATACTGTGGCAAGGCCTGGCCCCCGAACCCCCGTTGATGTCGGAGCCACTGGGCGCCGTGGAAGATGGCTTACTGTTCGTATTTCTGCTACCGTTCTGCGGCCATGTGCGATCAATAGAGACACACTTCTTTGTGCTCCGTCTTTGAGAAGGTGTCGTCCTTTCATTCAAGTGCGCGCTTTCTCCACTGTTCCCCTTCATAAAGGAAGTGACCCGGCCCACCGCTATTGGTGCTACTGCACGTCCGCTCAGTCACCAAAGATGATCCCCTCCCTCCGTCCTCGCTGTTTCGCCCGCTTCTCTCGATTTCTTCGTTGCTGCTGCTAGTGCGGCCTACTACATAGAGACGAAGCGGCCGATTTCCCCTGACTCTGGCACACGCACCCTCACACCCGGCGGGAAGGGCACAGCCATCACTCCCAAAGCTTGAACTCCCCGTTGTCTCCATGTGTGTTCGGGCGGGAACTGAAACGTTGCTCGGAAAGCAGGGCTTGGTAGGGAAACATATTCAACGGAGAAGGGACCATGGGTATAGTATCAGGAACTCCACAATGAGGCCGGGAAACGCTAGACCGATTTCTTAGAAAGTCGTTCAACGGACTTAACAGTCACCGCCTGGCTCGATGCCTCGTGCACGGCCTATACGCTTGCTTAAAACCCGGCGCCTTTATGTCGCTTGCAGCGTAGGCTATCTGTATCGTCTAAAACACGATGGTCAAACATGAAGCATATTCCTCTGAAGCCTGAAGTGGTACACATAAACGGTAACAACAATCTGACTTACTTTACACAAGTTCAAAGTATTTTTAAATTTGAAGTACAAAACGCCGTCGTACTGAACGCCTGCTTTAGTCGAAAAAAAACTCCGTGACGTTTTGTAGTATGACAAATGCTACGAGCAGAATCATTTTGCGCCTTTACTAGATCTACCACAAAGATTAGTTTCCGGTCCTCATTAACGGTAACGATTAATTAGAATACGAACATTCATACTTTGATTAAGCGGAATTATTGGTACTGAGAGACTTGATAAGCCGCTCCGCGGAAGGATCTCTATACTAGTGCTGTTTCTAATTGACGTTAAACCCATGCCGTTAAAAATAATGAAAAAGAATTAATGTTTTTAATTTCCCCAATTTACCTGCTGCCATTCCCGAAGGTATTGCCTTTAACTCTACTAGTCGTATGCTCTTCCCAAGAATAAAAAGACCGACACATAATATTTAATACCATATTTACATTTATTATATACAAAAATTATATTGATAACGTCATAGTTTACTTCCGCTATTACCAGTGTTTACTTTTCCTTTTGAATCTCTCATGTTTTGTCGTCATCTGTTACTTTCCACTTGTTTTTTTACCTCTTTCATTTTATTCAGCTTCTCAAAGCGCGAGGAATTAGAAAAAGAACTTTCCCGGCCATCATTTTGAGACAATTCATGGCGTGTGTCTCGTCTCTTATTCTATAGAGGGGAACGAGTTCACGTCGTGCTTTGCTTAGTATCATCATTTAATTATTTTCGATCATTCAGTCACTAGCGAGGCGATCACGTCCGGGAAATGGCGCGACCCCAGTCACTTGTTATTAACCTTCTAGCTTTCTGTGGTTTTTACTTGATTAATGTTTTTTTAAGGGGGAGGAACAAATAGCCATTGAATGAAGGTACTACACGCAGTTTAGTGGCACTACACAATATATGGTTGTTGTTTTTCCTATCGTTTGTGTTGTAGCCGTGTTTGCTGCTACTACCGGTTTGCTTGCAGCAGTTCTGATGCTCTCGCTGTTATATGATGGTAATATTGTCGGCATTTTTCATATTGCTGTTGTTGTCGATGTTGTTGTCGATAAAGTGGCTATTGACACAAACTGTTCTTGCCTTTCTTCTTCTCTAAAGGAGTTTTAACAAAAAAAAAAAAAAAACAGCCTCGATGGAATGCAACATTCTGCCTTATTTATCCTGCCCATTAGTTATGGTAAGGATGGATAGCTACCGCTCAGATAGCCACAGAACCGAATCTGCGACCGTTCAAACAGCGCTCCATGCGTTGCCATGTAAAACCTGGATGACTCAGACGTCAGGACCGGTGAGTATTTATTTGGGTAGAATCTGTGTCTGTCTGTATATATGTGCGTATGTGCGTGCGTATGTATGTATGTATGTCCGTCTGTCTGTCTGTCTGTCCCTCTGTCCGTCCGTCCGTCCGTTTGTCTGTCTACCTCTCTCTATCCATTTATCCATCTGTCTGCCCGTCCGTCCGTTTGTTTATTTATCCATCTATCTGTCTGTCCGTCTGTCTGTCTGTCCGCCCGTCCGTCGATCTGTCTGTCTATTTGTTTGTTTGTTTGTTTCTTTGTTTGTTTTATCCTGGCTGTTTCTCGTTATTTTTGTCATACTGAGAGAATCGGTCCATCCCCATTTCAGTCTTCCCCATTTTTCATTCGTTTAGTTTACGTTCATTTCTATACATCCACCATAACATTTGTGTATGTTAGATATAAGCGACCGGTCAGTTGAAACTTGTTTATGTTTCTTTTTTCACTCGCGTAACTCGTCGGAGATGTCAATACCACATGTGCACTTCCTGCCTTGTTACATTCGGTTAATATTATAGTCCGGATAGCAGACTCATCCGCCAGTGCCTCATCTGACGTAATCGATTGCGTCTCATGCGCATTACCTTCTAGTGCCGCGCTGTTCCGACCAAAAGTACACCATGTGCGACACAAATCGTTCACCAGTCCACACAGGATGTGCTGCACCCAATGTACGAGGGCCAAAGGTTTTTGAGGCACTTGGAACTGCTGCAGACGCCATTTGTCACCGACGGTTCCTATCGTCGGGCCCAGTTACGGCAAACGTATTCCGTGTTGTGGCGCCGTTTTCCCGTCAATAAATGATAAGACACAATTCAGTCATCGTAGGTGGTATATTGCAGCGATTCCATTCATTGGCCACTCATTATCAGCCTTCGACGGTCACTTCTTGTTGTGTCTCTTTTTCTCTATAATATGTCATTACAATCTATTACTGCTGTCCTTTATCCGGTCCTCGGCTTGCCTTTTCCTCTTAGTGAGATCCAGGATCCAAGGCGCACACGCACCAACGTACTCATCCCCCTCACACGTGCACGCAACACATACGTGTGCACAACAGTGTATGCACAGACAGCGTAATGATGAGACAGAAATGGTCTTCATCGGCGTCTTTTCCGTTGTGCCAGAGGTGATCGTCGTTTTGGTAGTCTGTGCGCGAAAAAAGTGGAGTTCTTGAAGAGATCCAATTATGTTTCGATAATAATGTTACTTTATTATTGTTTTTTCCCTATGTACTGTATATTACGAGGTGGATGATGTCGTCGAGGCGGCGGGCGACTGCGCCCTCTGCGCCGCTTGCGCTGCTTGAGCTTGCGCTTGAGCGTGCGCATGGGCCGCGGCGTTCTGCGCCAGCGCGGCGTACCACTGTTTCTGTTGGAGGGCGGCGGCTGCTGCATGTGCCCCGAACAGGCGATCGGCAATAAGGGAGTTGAGGGCGGTGGGCGGCGGTGGCGGTGACGACTGCGGACTGCGGCCAGGCGACTTGTGTTCCGATTTGAACTCCTCGCGCTCTGTCGCTGTATCAACGATACTCCAGATACGTGGTTTATGCCCACCTGGACTACCGGCGCTCGTATGACCGCTGAGTGCCGACCGGTGTTCGGGCGAGCTAGGGGATTTGCAGTCGGGACGCTGCGCGTTTGCGTCATTATCGCTCGCGGATCCTTCGCTCGATCGACGCTCGCGCTTCGGCGATGGTTCAGGACGATCGTCAACGTCAACAAGGTCTGTAACAGATGATAGGGCAGATGCGGTAAGTCAAAAATCTACTAGTCGGAACTCGACCTGTGACTCGTTACGCCTACGAGTCTATGTGCGTGTGTACGTTATACTCTGTTTTTACTGCTCGCTAGTATAAAAATAACCCAGTATATGTAGTCTATCCAAAGTGCAAGTAGACTTAGGTCCATTCTCTGTTGTGAGCTTGCATTGTGTGGCATGCGCAACGCTCCCAAAACAGAAGCTTTGCTTCCTTACTGTTTCTTCGCTTGTCTGGTTACTTGGCGGCCTTCCTTTTGCCGCATGCTTTCGCTCAGACATTTCGAGACTACGTCATCTCCCCACCCTTCTTCTCGCTCGTTTCTCTCCCTCTCTTCCGCTCCTTTCTACGGAGCCCTTTACTTCAACGCCCTTTCGGCGAGCTCCCTTCGTAGCGGCCTCAGCGGACTCGAGCGGAATTGGCCGGAATGCGACGCAATAGGGCACGGGGCAAATCGGAGCGACTTTAGGCTCTCCTGCCGCTGCTGCTGCTGAAGGGGGCCATTATGACTCCCCGTACACTTGCCGCTCGGTCGCTTGCTAACGGTCCATTCTGGCCATACTCTACAACTCCGGTCAGTCGCTCCGTCTCCGGTCGGTCGGGCAGTTAGTTGGGTCCAAGGAAGAGTTTGGCTGGCTTGGCCAAACCAGGCCACACGGTGAAAGCAAAGCAGGCTGGTCCAAGGCGGATCATACAGTCAAGAGGCTGCAGAAGAAACCGACGACCAGTTTGCGGGAAGGAGAGGGCTTGAGGACGGACAATTCGGGAGACAGCCAGAGGAATGGAAGAGTAAGTGGCTCAATAAATAACAGAGATCCTCGAGAGAAAAAAGGAGAAGGAAGAAAAGCGACCGAAGTAGTGGAAGAATGAAGAAGACGGAGAGGAACAAAGAAGAACCTCCTTAACCCTTGGTCTATTGCCTACTGACACCCGCCCCCTGCTTCCGTCCTGCTTGGGTTGCGGGTCAACTCCCATTTGGTTTTCTCGTCTTCCCACTTCCCCCTGCTCACTATTTCGCGTCCTTTAGCTAAGCTGACCACGGCGCTCACTTATAGCAACCAACCGATAGCAGGCGACGGGCAACCGTGGCTAAAACTATGCAGCACCATCCCATCAGTTTCTCTTTAGAGGGCAACCCATCACACAACAGCAGCAGCAGCAGCAGCGAAAGAAAAAGAAGAACAGGGAAAGACAACCAACCAGATACTGCCTTTCTGCCATCCCTGTATTCTGCTTTATTGCGGCCACTGTAGCAGCTAGCGACAAACTCGAACTATTACGTCTACTATTGGTTCTTCTATCTATTGTTGCTTTTCAAGAGTAAACACTTGAATATGGTTATCAGTAGTTCTAGTTGCAGTCATGTGAGTATGCTAAATGTTTGTGCTAGTTTCGTTATTTTGGCTCTTTAATGCTTACCGTTTTCGTCGTCGTGTGAGGCCGGCGGCGCTGATCGTTTGAGCTGCAGCAGGCCATGCAGCTGCGCCAGATGGGGGTGCGGATGGCCGAGGAGGGCAGGATGAAGGCCACCGGGACCGAGCAGGCCGCCGGCAACTCCTAACGCACCAGGCGGACACTCGGGCCCGCCTCGCATCAATTCCGCGAGCTGCTTGTTGCGCTGCGCCAATTCCTCAGCGGCCATTAGTGCCGCCCGCTGTTGATCGGCCGAAGGCGGCTGCGAACGCGTTTGCTCGTCACGGGGCGCTGATGAAGTGTTGTTATTAGTCGGCGTTGCCTCATCCAGGTCATCGTCATCGTCTTCGTCGCAGCGATTCCGCGGCGACCAGGTCATTTTATTCTCTTTTTTGAGTCTCCGACGTGCGTTCGCGAACCAGGTCGATACCTTTAGGTTTTATGTTGACGAAGTACCAATGAAACGGAAAGGAAGAAACCACATGAGGTTAACCACACCGTACGCCATGAGCATGATGGCGTAGCCTCAATCATTGGCGAGCCATCATCGTTTGAAGACTATCATCACTACCAGTTGTTTCATTGCAAAGCTGTTTTGTCAGAGCTAATTAAGCCTCAACACAGCCGCATTTCCTGTACCAAAGGTTACCCTGCTACCGCTAGACGCTTACGACCGCGGTTGTTGTTGAGCGGTTCTGATGACAGCGCTCTCAACCCACGGTTTGTCGAGAACCACCTGACGACAAGGCGCTGCCATCAAACACGGATGGCACGCAACTCACTCGATTTCGACTGCAGGCCTGGCAACACAGCCGTAACTGTGCAACTGCCGCACCGCGATACCCCTTATACGCGACAAAATGCTATATTATTTTACCTGTCGAATGAATTGCAATTAGAGGTAACAATTTTTCCTGCTAAAGACGTGCGTCGTCCGAGTCGCATCCATCATCGCATGTCGCTCACGGTCACTTTTACGCGCGTACATATTAACAAGGCGACGGTGGCAGCATCCGCAAATGTGGCGGTGATAATGGCGAGATCAACGAGTGCTACGCCGCGGCACTGCGGCCGTAAGAAACGATCAAACTACCTCGGTTTCTAGCTGTTCGTTGGTGATCGAGTGCCATTACTTGTCAAACGCGCAATGGCTCACAGATAGTAGCAGTACTGGTAAATAGTGCACACAGGCAGTATGGGGTCGCTGTGCCGAAAGACGCGGGATAGGTCGCCGCCGTCGCCTGTCCTCTCGCTGCTTACCTGTCTAGCTATGTTTCTAACAGCGCGTGACCGTTGTGTATATCCCAGGAGAGCAAGAGACCTAGCTGGCTAGATAGATGGCGACCAAACGAAACAACGAAAGATGATCACAATAATCACCTCGTTGGCACTCGAGAACAAGCGTACCGACGCTCTCGAGCGTTGTTTAAGAGTGGACCGCTGCCGAACTGACACCACTGAGCGGCAACCAGCCGAAAAGAAAGCAAAGCTAATTGTAGAAACTCGATCCCTAGAACGATTCGCCTTACTGATGCCGCTACATTGGCGGGCGACAACGGTGGTAACAACAACCATGTCATTAACTACTCATCGCGGCACATCCTATCACCACGATGCACAATTTCATGAATCTAGTGCTCTCGTGGGGAGACGCAGTGGCGGAGGATGCCTGTCAAGAGACATGATGTATCGGACTGGTGTCCTGCAAGCTACACACTTCGATGCTGCCATCCCACAGCTGGACAACATCACCGCGATCGCCATTGGAATCAGCAGCAGCGGCGGCGGCGGCGGCGGCAACCGCGACAAGGGAATAATGTCAACGGCAACATCAACAAGTATGCTTGAGAGCGCTATCCAGTGCATCCTTCGTCAGCAACATATTTAGAAATATAGATATAATCTTCTAAGATAGATGACTAGATGAGAAAACAGGCATCTAGTACTTGCTTATTTTGCTAATCGCGATAGACAAGGCTGATACAGAAATTAGTTTTGAGCTAAACGATTTGCGTCTGCTCCAGAGTCGAGCGCCTTTTGCACCTTACTTTAGATGACGTATCATCATATTTTCAGTCGCCTGTAGCCAGTGGTGTTGATATCGCCCGTTACGCGGAGATCGCCTATGTCTTTGGCTGTGGAGTGCGTGCGTATGTGTCTGGTGCACGGAGTACGAAATGACCGCAACGACGAGCAGTGTTCAACGAGCGTCCAGCCTCGATGACAGGCGGAGGTGAAGATCCAACTAGCTGATACTTCTCTCCCTTGGTCACACTCTATATGCCTCTGTTTCGGCAATCTATCGATATATTTTGGATTTTCATTCACCGCATCAGGCTCTATCCTTCTCCCTTCTCCGAGGATATTCCCAATGGGCAAAATACACAGACACATTCGCACAGGTACACTGAGACTCGGATATCTTGCACGGACATAGAGGTTCACAGTCGGTCACGGTGATGCGCCTCGAGACCAAAGTTGCGTCGTCCTGAGGCTGCAGCGTCACGCTCGGACGAGTCAAGCAAGCGTAGCTTAGGTAGGCCAGCGCCGTACTAAGACGCGTCTTTTGGGGCACCAATAGGCTTCGACCAACGGCAAACGCTCGTTTCACTGAGCAAGCGAGGTCTAGAAAGGAGAGATACGATTGAACTAAACACTATTTATACTCTACATAGCGACACTTACGACTAGTCTTTGCAAAAGTAACGATGCTGTTCGAATTCCTGTTGTTGATGCTGCCGTTGTATTCTTGAGATTGGCGTATCGAGCAAATATGTTTCTGATAGTACGAGTCGTGCTATTAGGTGTGGTCTCCGGTCTCGATCAGAAGGTGCCATCAGCTTTAACTGTGGGGCCATAACTCTCAATTTGAGCTTCGGCATAACAGCACCGCAGGCCAGGGGTATGTACACACTTCAAACAAAGTCAGTGTATATATATATGGCGGGGTGACACCGAGACTATAATACACCGCACTAAAAATATATCTATCTTTATATCGAGACACAAACACCTAACGCACCACATAACACACCAGTACATCGATAAAATGTACAATACAGAGCTGAGGCACTTGCCGATACCGCAGTCCAGTTACGACCAGCAGCTGACGAAGGCACCGCCGTTGTTCGATGTTCGACATTACATATTAAGGTTCTCATTTGCGTACAACTTATTGCTAAAACGGCCCATGTATTTGACTTAATCACGAATTGGCTCCAGTCTAAAGATTGGGATGTAGCGGGCAAACAACACCGAGCGATGAGCAACAACTTCAGTTGGAGGAGATTGGAAACTTTCTATATAAGGCTGTATTCAGACTTTCAACGGAACGTAACAAGAGTTACAGCAAAACAAAATATACCTAAGCAGATCACTTATAGGTGTAATAGGTAATCTGCCTTATCATACCTGAGTGAGAGTCATCCTGGTGATAATAGCAAGCATGATCTTTTCTCCTTTAGTGGGGTACGGGTTCTTGCGGTGCTCGTTCAGCCACGCTTTCAGCGTACTCGTCGTCTCCCGGGTGGCGTTCTTGCGCCGGGCGCCATTCAGGTCCATGCCGTAACTGCAGTCATAAGGCAAAACGAAAAAAGAAAGACATATTATAGCGTCAGGCTGAATGAGGTCCAAAATGTTTTTCATTGTGTAGTGCGATAGCTCTATGCCAGGTAAATCCCTGTGCGCCTGTATTAAGAGAGGCAGCTCAAGAGCATAGAAACTGATAAGGCTCTCTCAACGGGATTAGCTTAATAACCACTATAAGCTGATATTTCGTGTACTACGAACCCGGCAAGTTATTGCTGGTGCAGCACCAAAAACGATGATCAGTATAGAAAGCTAGATGAGAAATAGGATGGATGTGCTATTCGTATTGTAGAAACGGCGATGACAAACGCCGGCACTTACTATAAAGGTAACACATCGAGATCCAAACACAGCTCAATACCAAAAAAATGTCCGTTCTTGAATTCTCGTTAGAGATAAAGAGCCTCCATGCAGATTAGCGCTGCCTTAGCGGAAAGTTCAGCTAATATGTACTTACCCGGCAAATGGATAGCCAGCCAATGGGGCGGCAGCAGGATCGTAAGGATAGCCGGCAGAATACATTTGGGCGTATGCGGCCGCCGCAGGAGATAGATTTCGCCAGGCTTCGAGGTTCTCCTTGAGCTCGAGTCCACCTGCACCGGGTGTGGGGACTCCGCCGGGATTGGCCTAGACGAACAAACAGGCCCGCATTAATTGAATGAACTTTACTTACGAAGAGACTTTGATTAGATTTATTTGTTATTATTGCTAGACGGCCATTCACCAAGCTAAAACGTTATTTATAGTCGACCGCGCGTTGAAACAGAACGGTCACTCAGCGCCTCCTTGTTTTTCATTTTCACGAGATTTCTATAGGACGATTAGCTATGAGATGAGGAAACATGATTTCGCTGTTCTGATTCCCTTGGGCGTTTAGTTAGCACAGCTTGCACCTATTGCAGGGAAAGTTCTACTGAGCAAATGAGCCCATATCCACTGCCCATATTCGGCCCCCCAACAGCTTTTGACTGAAAGCTGGTCTGAGCCTTGACAAGCGCGTGAGACCAAGCTGTGTCAAGTCGAGCTGTGAGGAAGGGCTTTCTAGCGTGGGTCGCTGTGACCCAAAGCAACCATGAAGAAAGGACCAAGGCAAAGAAGGGCATCATCTGGAGACATGCGATATGGCCTCGTTTCGTACGTTGGTCGGATCAAGCAGAGTTGGGACAAAGAAGCAGAACGACCGCGGGTGGTTAGTAGAGACTAGCGCAAAGCGACACCGCGTTCCCTCGATGAATCAACAGTTCGTCAGTCCCATTGAGTTGACGGTGGGGCCATTGTTAATTAGTTCTTGTTGTCAAATAAGCAGGCAATAGGGCATAACGGCTGTCAACGCACACTTACAATGTCACATAGCTGCGCACCACGGCGCCGTCCCTAATAATACATTGGCCCGAAACGCGCACACACACATATATAGGAACACGCGCAAACAGATGCCCTCGATTTCCACATCCTGTATCAACTTCCCGTCGCCACTGTGTCGCTTTCTATGTAAGTTTAATATCTTCACGAGTGTCAAGCAAGGGAGCACACACCCCCCCCCCCCTGGTCATGCTGATGCCATCACGGCCCAATGATGCGAGACCGTACTATAAACGAAAATGAAAAGCAGCGGTATCTCGCTTGCACTTTTACCATAAGGAATCATCACACAGCATCGTGATTTCAAGCGATTATTTAGCGGGTGTAAGTTCAACTTTCTGGCACAGAGATCAACTACCCGTCGAGGATGTTATTGCCTACATCTGACAAAAATTACGCTAGAATATAGAAATACTAAACGAATAAGGCAAAAATAACAAAGTTAAGGAAAGGGATATAGGCGAAAGTCCGAGACAACTTACGCCAGGCGGGTAGAAGGCAGACGGAACTCCTTCAGCTCCGCCGAGGGGCAGAAATCCGGCGGCAGCGGCAGCTTGCAAAGCTGCTGCGGTCGCTACCTGAGGGTCGGGGTTCGCCTTGGGCGCAGAAGCCGCTGAGGGCCGCGGCACCCCGATCGGGGGACTCAGTGCCGGAGGGCCGTACATCGCACCGCTAGCAGCTAGTCTGAAATCAAAATTGCGGGTTATACAATGTGATTTATTATGATAAACAAAATCTCTCCTAAAAATCTCTCAAGTTGGCCCTTCGAAGAAAACCCGATGCTAAAGAACCGATCTCATAAAAAAAGCTTTACGACTCCAAATGTTAGTATTAGTTCGAGTTACTGCTGGAGAGCTGAACGATAACGACAGCAATAGCGTCTCTAGGGTTGACTTCAATGCCATAATCAACACGAAGACAAATAAGTACCAACTGGGCACGTCTATTGAACGCTGGCAAATTTCTCCGCTTCCTCTTCCTCTCTAAATACTTCCAAGTACCATAAAGTCTCACCTTTGATACTGCGCGACGCACGAGCAGATCTGACGTTGGGTGACTGGATCAGCAGCAAGCGGTGTGCAGCTTGGAAGATGCTGCAAATGTGCAGGCAATCCGGGGGGAGGCCGGTCCACTGGCGAGCCGAGTTGGTTCGGTCCGAGGGGGGAGCCGGGGGCCGTGAGGGTCGCGGGGGCCGGTGCGCTGAGAGCGGGGGCTGACGAGACTTCGCAGAGGGGCTCGCTCTTCACCGCGGGGCTCGAACCCGGCATCACAACGAGCGTGGCCGGGACCTAAGCTGCAGCGGGAAGTCTGCAGGAATAAGCCGGCCAGCACGAATCGACCAAAGCACAACTCTCTAGATTAGTCGAAAGTCGACCAACGAGCTACTACACTATCGATTATTGGTACGCTAACAATGAATAAGCTAAACATTCGAGAGTTACAATGCATCCTAGTGCGGGATGAGGGCACACTACATAAGCAGCTAGCTTTAGACACGTACTAGTCACGACTGAATTCTGATAGGAGTGGATAATTTTGCTTGCAACCTCGAATATATATATATATAAGAACAAGTATAAAAAAATCATTGCGGAGAGGACTACTCCAACGAAAAAAAACAACGTATGCTTCTCTCGTTGTGTAGTTAAACGTTTCAATGAATAAAGCTACCTTTCCCTTCACGGATACCGTCGGGTCTAGAAGAATAAAGACGGTTGTCAATAGTCAACTGACAAAATAACTGTGGTGTCATATCTTCTCATAGGCGACACGAACCGGCAAGTATTAAATTCTGGGAATATTACAGTCGAGCTACGCGTTCAATCAAAACTACCAGACAGTTATAAGGAAGTATAGTGCTGAAAGTGATGTAGCACTATATAATTTCCTTTTTTTTTTTTTTTAGAGTACCTTTGGATTTCGAAAAGTGCCTTTCCTACTAAATAATGCTTTGGCTAAGGGAGTACTCCGCATGGACTAGACAAAGAATAAGTTTATTCCCATAAAGCGAGATCAGCATTCATCATTTATCCTAATTTACAGACATTTTATTTATGCTTATGAAGCGTCAAAATCCGTCCGAAAAAACCGAAAAAAGCGTCCGAAATCAACTATGCGAAATACTTTGAACTTGTGTTGGAGTGAATAGTTGCTACTTACCGTTAAGGTGATAAGTTAGATTCCTTGCAAGTGATTTTCATCCGTGGGTACACGTCTCATACTGTACTTTTGCAAATTGTTCAACACATCACAAAAACAGCATAAGCGAAAGTTGTGGTACGATGAACGTCGAAGTGAACTTCTTTTTAACGGTAGAAAAAATATGGTCCAAGTATTAATGGGGTCCAACACAATTAGCAATAAAGAAGCAGCAACAGCACAATCCAAAGTTTAGTTCATGTACAACAATTGACACACAGAGACATCGAAGACAATATGCACACAACGGTATAGCAGCTCGAAAATGATATCGATTCTGTTCTAGTCTCGCTGTTTGCTTGTGTCTGACAATCTATGTTTGTTGCAAACCGAGGAAGACGAATGACAAAAGTGCCCGTCGTCTAGCAGCATGTACATACGCACACACACACACACACACACACACATATATATTTGGCTCTAGGCTGGTTAATTGGCTCGATGACAGCCTACCGCTGAAGTAGGGATAGTGGATTTCGTGCGTGCCTTTGTTCTACCGTTACTGTAGTACGCGCAGATACTTGTATAGCAAATACACGAACAACGTATGGGCAAAAATTGCCTATTCACACACAACAGGAATAAGATGGGTTATAATAATAGTCGAAATTGTTATTATGATTAGTAGCTTAGCTTTTTTTCTGCTTTTGATCTTACGTTGTGCAGGACCCAAGTACGCAAGCCCACTGTACCGCAGGTCACGTGTGGTGGGCAGGCAGTTCGCTTCTGCAGAGGACAAACGCACTCTGTGTGGACACTTAGCACCAGTGGCAAACCTCGAAGTAGCAATTATAGTAGAGCACGACTAGAAATCACTGCTTTTTTTCACCCTAAACACACTTCTTGTTGATATCACTGCGGCTGTTGGTGTTGTTGTTGCTGCTATCGGTGTTGTTGTCGTCGTCGTCGTCGTCGTCGTCGTTATTGTTGTTATCGTCGTCGTACTAGCGCGCACACGTACACATATATACACAGAGAGTTGGTCGAAGTAGTAGTATACGTACTCTAACGGGTGGTATCACAATGGGTAATTTGTACCACTAGCTTTATAGTTATGGCAATAATAATAATAATAGTTATTATTATTGTTATAACACTATTGCAATGGTACTAGTGTACTAGTGGTTTTTTCGCCTGTACCTTTATAAAGAAATACGCCAGCAGCACACCACAAAAACACAGCACAAATCGTAGCAGTAACGTGATGGACTCGTTGTTGTTGTTGTCGCTGCTGCTGCTGCTGCAGTGTGATACCGTAGCACTGATGGGGGTAGTAAGTAGTCGTCGCCGCAGCCGTTGTAGCATAGGTTACAACAGTAGGAGCAGAAGCGATGCTGTCTTCCTTCAGTAACAGTGCCGGTAGCACTTGGGGTGCTGATAGTCTTGGCGTCGTCGTTGTTGCTACAGCAACAGCAGCGGTAGTAATAATACGTGTTGTGTGCCAGGGCAGGAGCAGCGACAGCGGCAGCAGCAGTAGCAGCACGTCGCCGCAAGCCGCGGGGAGGACCGGAGCGGACAACGGTCGAGAGCCTACTGAGGAGAGGGACTAGTTACTCGTCGTCGTCGTCGTTGTCGTCAAGGCGCGAGTAAGCGAATGACCGAACGGCGAAGAGCGGACGATGCCGACTGAATGGCCCGTCGATGTGTGCTGTTCGCTTGCTAGCTACCGCCGTACCGTCGGGCCAGCCACCGTCCACCGTCAGAACACGAATAACTCTAATCTAACAAGAATGAGTACAAAAATTTTGCTGTTCTAACACATGTACCCGTGTTTCTTTGGTGGATAGTGGCGCCTGACTCCGCCCTAGGCTCCGCCTTGATCCTCCCCGAAAGAGGCGGCCGCTGGGAGAGGGCTGATGAGCGGTTAGGGCTGGCGGCTGGACAAATTGGAAATGGGCGAGGGTGGAAATGGGCCACAAGCAAGCGTCGACCGACGAGCCACCGCGCGGGTGAGCAAGCAACGATCGCTCGACCCGGTGGTGGTGGCGGTACTGCTGCTGCTGCTGCTGCTGCTGCCGCCGCCGCCGCCGCCGTCGCCGCTGCGGCTGTGCGTTACGGCTCGGTCCGGTCCGACCCGGCACCGCTGTGGGAGCGAACAGCGGCGGCGGCCTCGGCAGGAGTAGCCTGAGACCGGGGAGAGCGGTGGGGGCGTAGGGAGTGGGGATGGTAGCTAGTGATGGCGACAGCAGCAGCAGCAGCAGCGCTCGTGGTCGTAGGGGCAGCGAAAGGGAACTATGGAATAGTGGGGGAAGTCAGGGAAACTGAGAACGGGGAAGGGGAACGAAACGGGAATGAGTAGCAGCGGTCTGCAGAAACAGCACTCCACGACATGCAGACACCGACAATAGCGACGCAGGCAATAAGAACAGCAAGAGCAGCAGAAGTCAGTTAGTAGATGCTGTTGGTTGCTGCCTGTCGTCCTGCCGACTCCTGGACGCTACTAGAAGCTGGAGAACGAACGAACGGATACACGAGGCAACATCAAGTGAGCCAGCGAGCAAGCAAACGATTGCTGGTAAGACGAACGGCGGCGAATAACAACAACAACGACGACGACGATGATGATGCCGACGACGACGGCGGTGCTGCAGTCTACGTTGACGAGAAACGCCAAGACGACAGAAGTTAAGCGAGAAGGACAACTAGTGACGGCGACAGAAAAAAAGTGCTGCTGCTACTGTTGGAACCGGAAAGATAAAAACCATCCTCTAGTCGACGGGCAACGACGACAGCAATAGCAACAAATGTAACAAATGCTGAATCCGCCAGATAACGGTTACCGTCATCACGATGTAGGTGTTATGCCTTTTTAACGTCATTGTTTGACATTGTTGTTGGTGTTAATATTGCTTAATACCGTCGCTGTTACGGCTGTTATTGGTAACGTTCTTGGTGAAGGTTTCCCTTCATCAGCTATCGAAAACGACGCTGAATCTGTGCTACGGAGCTTATACTATTGTTATGTAGACAGAACAAAATCCTACGGCGTATGGTGACGATAGTAGCGCACTAAGCCGTAACCTCGTCCACAGCGTCAACAGAAAGATGAATTAAAAAATTTCAGACAAATCGAATTCTGTGAAGAGCGAAGTTCTCATGTAACAGCGACAACGGCAACCAACTCAAAGTAGAACAAAAACAAGGACATACATATAGAACCGCAAAAGGACAATTTGTTTCAGCTTTGAATTTCAGGAGAATAACAACAACAACAACGGATACTAACGAAGCACCGTTCGTTGTCAAGCTGAGGGCCAAATGCCCCCGATACCCGACGATATAAAATCACAAACGCTGTTAAGCAGCGGAGCAAGCTCATGATACCAGTTTTTAGTTATCTGTTCTATTGCAAATACTACTAACGTGGTCAAAAGCGATGGTATCTTCGATGCGATACCAGGCTACGTTGTAGACTACCTTCAAGGAAACATACGAGTCTGCCGCCATATATTCCTAAGACTAAACATATTGGGAAAGGAAAGCCCTTTAAGGAAGCTTTTGAGGAAAAATAAAATAGGTGCAAAAAATAGAATAGTATCCTCCTGAATACAACCATTAGAAGTGAACCTTAAAAATTATATGAACATATTTACTTAGATGATTGCAAAACTGAAAATCTATAACGCACAAAATAGACTGGCTTCACGCTGTGATCGAGGTCTGCAAAAAATCCTGCAAGTTAGGATCATACATGTAAATTTAATAAGCAGGGTTTAGAATTAACATGTATAATATACGTAAGTTACTCCTTATGCAGGTTTAAAATTTTCTGTGGCACCTCGAACATGCCGCGAACTAGTCCGTGTGTATCGAGACACAAGCACACAATGGTGCACACATTCAAACGCTTAGACACACACACACACACACACGCACATGGACACACAAACACACACAGACACACACACACACACACACACACCCGCAGAGACACACGCGAAAACGCACAGACACAAACACTCTGTGGCACACCCATGCATATATACACAGGCAACAGGGTTACAAGTGCGAGCAAGGTTACACTTGCGAAAGCAAGCAGCAGTCGACCTGGCGAATCTGCAATCAAGCGACCTCTTTTATCGGAGAGAAGGAGAGTTGTCCTAACAACCTTAGCTTTGCTCACGCCCTCAAACGCTTGCTTGTGGCTGATGCTGGCATCGCATAAGCAACACAGAGGATGGCTATATTCGCGCCTTTCTGCATACAGAAAGCGGAATTGGGAGTCAACGGTCTCAGAGGCGCTACGATTATATTGCTACTACGTTTGTGACGATAGTAATATCTACAGTAATGACGGCACTGCCAGCCCTATTCGTCTGTAGGCATAACGACGCTGGGGTCGATAAAGGAAATGGTCGACGTGATATGCGCTCGTTGCCAGATCTTTCTTTTTAAAGCTCGCTTCGACCTTCCCACAAATTTTTAAGGCTGTTGTCAGCTGTTGTAAGCTACCGGTACCCTTACACACACTCCATGCGTATACACACATGCATACATATAGCAAGCGAACGAAGAGGAACAGCCACGAAATCATGTCGTTATATGTTACTTTTGCACGATCAGGACCTCGTATCCTGTCGTGCTAGTGTCGTCAATGTGTGCTTTGCTGAAAGGATGCGACGTGCCTAACCTGAACTGTGGCTGTGTATATAACATTGCTCGATATACACATACTGCGCATGTACATACGTGGATACATACATACTCACGCAGAATAATAGAAACAAGAGAGGACAAGAACTAGAAGCAGCTTTTCCTCAACCGCTTACTTCGCAGTGGCCATCATCTTTGTTGTCCAATCCGTTCGAAGTGTCGAAGGAAGTGGAGAAGTTATAACATATATACACATTCGAGAGAGAGAAAGAGAGAAAGGGGGTGAGGAAGCCAGTGAGTTGCTGCAGCAAATATCGCAAAACTGCCCGGCTCTTAGCCGCCCATGCGGTGTGTCGTACACCATCGTACCCATTATCAGTAAGTAACAACATATGGCGGAGATTTAGCTGTATGTGCACATACAAGCATGCACACTTACACAACACTGGCTCATATGCTACTGCTAATGCGAGGCAGCGGCTGCGAAAGCGAAGTCATAGATTGACTGTTCTCATAAGCCGCTAGCTACGACAGTATCATGAGCAGGGAGACGAGATATGTGTCTATCTGTTTGCCTGCGTACCTCTCGGTATGTTTGGCGCCCTGCAGCTCAGGTGTCCCGCCGTCTGAACCAGGCCTGCCTGACATGACTGGGTTTAGTGCCGCTGCGCGCTCTCTCGTTCGTTTATTCGCTGGTTTCATTCGTTGATTGGCTGGTTGGCTGTACGGTGATCAGGAGCGACAATCATCCCAACTCATCGGCCGCCGCGTCACATTTTCTTTTCGACGAGTAGGAACGACCATCAAATTCTACATATACTTCTATGGCGACTACTACCATGTGCCTATAATAATACATGATTCTTATTCTAGCTATCAGTGCCGCTAGTGCTATCGAGAGCAGAGGTGACGACAGCGATGGCAGTAGCTGCAGCATCAGGGGTGGCGTGGTAGAAGTAGTAGCCCAGCAGACTCGTGCGACATCTGCTACGACTCAGCTTCAGCTTCTTCATCGTCATTGCCTACTTCGCACATTTATACGATATGTGATGAATACGCCTGTAGTCGTCCTAGAAACCAATGGCTGTTTTATACCATTAGGTTATGAGCATACGGTACGCTCAAAATTATTCCTGGTTGGTGTTTCCGACTGGCTCAACATGACTAGTTACATCGGCTGTTGCTTCGTTCTTGCACACAGCTTGATACGGGGTATCTAGTCGAGTCAAAAGGAAGCAAGCTACGCGTTTCTGTCGAAGGTCTAAATCGGTCAGAGCACTATGGGTTCATCGGTGGAGGGTCTCTGTCCCCGCAGGGCCTTGTTGCTCCGGTTGCGAATAGGACAGCATAGACTGGTGTGTAGGACACGCAGGGCTGTCATTGGATGCGACCAGTAGCTCGATAGTCGCATGTGAATGAACCGCATTGTACGGCTCTATTCTGCGGGCTTCTATTGTAACAGAAAGAGAAGCATGCTACAAAAGTCTCAGGACTTTCTTCCCTACCCTAAGAGTGGTTTTGATATCTGCGTCACTTTTGCCGCTGCCGCCACTGCTGCATAAACTGCTCGTTAACATCTCACCAGAGGCGAGCAGTGTACATCAGTAAACATATGTGGATCTATGTGTGCATGCTGGTTGTGTGTTTTATATAGGTGTCAGTGTGCGGCGCATCTTGCACACACACACCCAAATCATGTTGAAGGGAAAGCTGAATACATACAAAGCTAATACGTCCATATCTTTCTCATGTCGTTTATTTGCACAGGAAGAGGATATTGTTGACGCCTCAGCGACAAAAATGTATTCTAACGAAGACAACAACACCCATCCTGCGGGTTGCAATTCCTCTTCATCTATAATTATTGTAATTAAATCTAAATGCTACGACTCGTAGCAGCAAATGTTTCGTCGGCCACCTAGCTTGATATCGTTCTAGGTAGGACATGGACGCTTGTGTACGAGAGCGTTCACAGTAGTCCAATTTTCAAAAGCTTTGCCATTAGTCATTGTCACCACCTTGATGCCTGAGAGGCAGTTCACCAATATGAATGCCGTCTTGTTTTTACGTAACGCAGGGAACAATCTC